CAAAACGACTAAAAAATCTGGCCAGCTTTTCGCAACTAAATATTATTTACGTGGTCAGCAATCGAGAGCGATTGCTCCCGCTTCCCGACCAAGCCTGATATATATATATATATATATATATATATATATATATATATATATATATATATATATATATATATATATATATATATATATATATACATACACACACATATATATATATATATATATATATATATATATATATATATATATATACTAGGAAGAATTCAGCTAGGCTTGAAAATGATTTTAATACCATATTAATGAAGGATAGTAAAAATAAACAACTCGGCAGACCTACATTACCATTTCAAGAATCATCATTAAAAAAAAATATAAAAAAAAAGCTGAAACTTTGTCAGCTTCAAATTTTTGTGAGTTGATGCTTACTAAGCTTGTACTACTTGTAGCATACATTGTCAAAAATTTTTGATGATAGTGGATGCATGGGAACAATTAATCCATACAACAATTTTAAAAATTCTGTAGACGCTCGTAAAATCTGCTAATTAGAAAAACTAATTAATTAAACTGGAATATAATTTTCTTTTACAAGAAAACAAGTTTATCTAGCAACGTGTAATAGCGCCTGTAATAGCACTAGTTAATCCTACTAAACTTAAACAAGTTTTGCTTTCCACGAGCGAGGATCAAATCAAAAATCTCATAATAAAACATATGCTAAATAGTGTACATAGCACAAATAAAACATATGTAACTAATAAAAGTTATTTGCTGCTAAGCAAAATTAAAAGTATCCATAAAAACTAAATAAAAAATATACTCACTTTTTTAAAAAGTACGACCTTATATTGGTATTTATGCAAAATTTGGTGAATATCTCATAGTAAAAATATCTGCAAAAACCAAAACTAGATTTTTGCTATCCAAAATTTGGTATCCATAGCAATGAATTAAAAAAATAACACCTACATATGAAGCATAGACATCATATTATTACTCATCCTAATTTTAGTTAATATAGCCCTAATTTCAAATTAGTTATGAATTTTGTCCAGTAAAAGTGAATTCTGGACCACTGTTCTACAGTTAGAAAGAAATAATTTAATAACCTCAAAACCTTTATATAAAGAAACTAATAACAGAGTGAAGACTAATCATAGGATAGTTGGAGAGGTCTAAGTGTTTTCTAGAGTCTTGAAAAATTGGAACCACTTATTTAGCACTTTTTAAAAGTTAAGCAAAAATTAAAAGAGTTCTGGAGGACACTTTTTTATAGACTATGATGAAAATCTACTCAGGAGCACCAACTGTAGAAGTGTTTAATTGAGAATTAACTTAAGCATTGAAAGCCAGAATGCTTTTTATCTTTAACAATGGGTTAATCTGTTTTAACTGTAAGGAAGAAGCCAATATATTCAAGAGTCAAATTAGAGTAAGATTTCTTTGCAAATAACTCTGCTTTACTCTGGGAAGAAGTAAAAAGTTCAGACCCATGATCTAGAGATTAAATGTATTTTTGAGGCATGGAGAAAGGGGGGGGGGAACGCATTTCACAAAAATGACGACTGACTTACGAACAAAAATAACATGTGTTTTTTGTATTATATAGACTAAGCAAAACACTTTTAAATAAAGTAAAAACCTCCAATGATTTTTTAATAATTATGCACATTTAAAAGATTAAAAAAAAAAAAAACTTGAAAATGTAAACTAAAGAAAAATAATTAAACTGTTACTTTTGTCAGAAATCTAATGTCAGAAAGCAAATGAGGTAAAATGAATATGAAAACGAAAAATAATGAACAAAACTATTCCTTTAATTGATAATTTAATTTGTTAATAATTTAATTTGTTAACTTTAATTGATAATTTTTTTATATAAAGACTAAAGAAAAAAAAAATTATATAAGATTATATATATATATTTTTTAACATATATTCTTGCAAATAAAATTTGTTATATTTCGAGTATATTAACTTTAATCAATAATTTTTTTATTTAAAGACTAAAGAAAAATATATTAATACGGCTGTCTTAAAGTCAAAAGTTTGTCTTTTTTTTGTTCAAAACAAAATCTTTTGTTAACTTAAATAATTCTTAAATAAATTTATTAAAGAGACCATCGTTGTTTAAAGTCGTCACATAAAATTAAAATAATTAAAAAATTATTATTAAAAATTCTTATATATTATTTTATTTATTAATTATATATTTTTATATATATTTAAATAATATAAACAAAAATTTATACAACTTTTATCTATACTTTAAATTAAAACGTTAACAGTAACTGTTACTTTTTTTAAAAGCATTTTGCTAGTATAAAAATGTTATTAAAGATAAAAGTTTTGAAGTTATTTATTTTTGACGTAAAAAAAATAATTTTTCAGCACATTTTTAAAATGTTAAAAACCGTGGTCAAATCGTCAAAATAAAATATTATTTGCGTGGTCATATAATGGCGTGCGATCGCACGCCTTCTTGACCAAGCCTGCATATGCATATATATACAAAAAAACATCAATTTTATAACATGAATTTAGAATTTAAAAAATATACTTTAGGATGTATAAATGTTTATGAAGACCCGGTCACTAAATCTGCCCCAGCTGCGTTTATATTTTATCAAACCCGGCCCCAGTCAAATATCAACCCCGGTCACTTACTAAATGTAACATGAAAGTTGTGAACTTTCTTGACATGAAACTTAACCTCAATGATCAATCTTTTAGACAGTTTTTTAAACCAAATGATGAACTAAGTTATATACATGTTGATTGCAATCATCCTACATTTTAAAGCAACTTCCTTGTTCTTTAGAGTTAAGGCTGTCAGCTAATTCATCTAATAAAACTATTTTTCACAACTCTACCAATTTATATCAGGATGCATTAAAAAAGTCTGGTTACAAATTTGTAAGCGCAATATAATAAAATTGTAAGCGCAATATAATCTGGTTTAACCCCCCATATAGTAAAAATGTTTCTTCTAAAATTAGTAAACTCTTTTTGGATTTGTAGACAAACACTACCCAATTGGCCATAAATAACACAAGACTTTTAATAGAAATACTCTAAAGGTGAGTTACAGTTGTATGCCAAACATCAAATCTCTCATAACCATTATATAATGAAAAACAACACCTTAGATTCCAATAAATATTGCAATTGTATTATTAAAAACAAGTGCCCTCTAAATCAACAATGCCTTGTAAATAACATAATGTATCAAGCCACTTAGTACCCAGGCACTGCAGACGGGAATGAAAAAGTATATTTTGGAGTTAGTGAAACCACATTCAAATATAGATATGCTAACCATATAAAATCTTTTAATATCAAAAAATATAAAAACGATATTGAATTATCTAAGGAAGTATGGAGGTTAAAAGAAAGAGTAAGCCCAACAATTGAATGGAAAATTTTAAAACGTTGTAGATCTTACAATCCTACAGTAAAACGATGCAACCTATGTCTATATGTAAAGTATGTTGTAATATCTTACACCAATGATAACTTATTAAATAAGAGGAATTAGTTTCTAAATCTAGACACAGACAAATGTAGACAAAAACAAATTTCTTTTTTCAAAGTTCGATATGGGTGATTAGACAGCTGTTTTTATGAAGACATGCACACTTCATATTTTAAGGTTTTTTTTATTTCTTGATTTTGTATTACATGGCTGATTATTGCCTTTAGGCATGAAACTATTAGTACCATAAAAAGTTGTATTTTCCTTGTTTATAAATTTGTATATATATATATATATATATATCAGGCTTTCACAGGAAGACATGTGATTTCATGTCTTTATATGACCACGCAAAAAAAAAATGTTTTAACAATTTGACCACGGCATATTTTTAAAATTTAAAAACGCGCTACAAAAACTTACCTAAACTTATCTGAAAAAAAAATTTTTAAAAATAAATAAATCTTAACGAAAAAGAAAATAAAAAAAAATACTTAGTTAAAGCAAAAACACAAAAAAATAAATATATATAAACTAAAATGCTTAGTCTATTTAATTTACGCATTAAAAAACCTTTTCAATCTTTGATTCAACATTTTTATATATTTTTTATTTGTTTAATATGTTCAAAAGTTAAATATTTCTTATAAAAAATACATAGTTATATAAATAAAATAAAAAAATATTTTATAAATACTTTTTTTTAAATTAATTATAAGTGTTTATTTTTTACTTCATTAAAAGCGTTTTGATAATATAAAAGCATTTAAGATCAAACTTATAAAATTGTTACGGTTTTCTAAAACTTTTTTTTTAATGAAATTTTGTTTATCTTTTTAAATGCATTAACTTTAATCATTCTTATATTTAAATTCGTTAAAGAGACTTTCGTAGTCGAAGAATGTCATCGTTTATAAAATCATAACAATTTTTTATTTTTTAATAAGATTTATTTTAGAAATGAACACTTTAACAATTTATATGTTTTAAATTAAAAAAATATATACAACTGTCAATTATATTTAAAAAACAAAACTTTTTTTCAGCAAATTGTTACTTTATTTAAAATCGTTTCACTAATATAAAAACATTTGTTAAGAAGTTTTGATGTAATTAATTTCACTTTTTTAGAATATTTTTTATTTAGCGCGTTTCTAAAATGTTTTTTGAATAAGCCGCGGTCAAACCGTCATAGCAAAATGTAACTTGCGTGGTCATATAAAGACGTGAAATCGCACGTCTTCCTGTGAAAGCCTGTATATATATATATATATATATATATATATATATATATATATATATATATATATATATATATATATATAAATATATATATATATACATATATATATATATATATATATATATATATATATATAAATATATATAAATATATATATATATACATATATATATAAATATATATATATATATATATATATATATATATATATATATATATATATATATAATGTATACAATTTATATCAATTTAAGATAGACGATATATTTATTTAAAAAATATTTATATACTTACAACTTTTGCTTTATTAATGACGGGCTGCATATCTCTAAACAAATCTATTTCTTGCACATTATTCATGTCAATGTGTTTTTCTTCATCTTCCCAAGTATTCCAATCAGTGAGATTTACTTCTACGCTGTTCTATTGAATAATATTTTCTATAAAAATATTGTCACAACAGTTGTAAAGCTATATGTTTTAACATTATAAATATATTATCCAATTATTATTAATTTTTTTTTGTTTAGGAAAAATAAAAAAAACTGAAATTACCTTTATACATTAAGTACTTAAAACAGAGTGTGTTATTAATTTAGTCATAAAATTTTTGAAATTTTAAAAACACACGAATTAAAAAGTTTAAACAGTTTTAAGTCATTTTAAGTATAGTAACAAAAAAAATATAAATATTTTTTTTTAAATTCTGATTCAGTCTTAACAAGGCTGCAAACAACCACTATTAAGTTTAGAATTATAGAAAATGGTGAGCATGATAAAGAGAAGCAACCTTAGCAGATGCTAATTTAGCAATCAATTGTATATATGGCTTCCATGAGAAGTCAGTAGTGAACGATAATCCAAGAAAATGTAAAGAAGAGGATTCTATACTAATTACCTTAATACACAAGAACTAAAAAAGTTACAGTATATATATATTTTTTGATGAAATCATATTATCTTTCATAAAAATATAAACTTTTTAGACAGCGTATAAATAAAAATTTAAATGTGTGATTACCATAGTATGGTAATCACACATTTGCTAACAAATGTGCAAAAAAAAAAAAAGTCAAAAAAATGTTCTTATTTATAAATGTTGGAGATATAAACGAATAAACATTATATCGATGGAGAATTTTATTGTAAGTATACAAACCAAGTATATCATTTAAAATATGATTTAAAAAATTAGAATGGATAAAAAGTTAAAAATAAAAGACAAAAGAATAAAGGAAAAAAAGACCCTGATGTTTCAAAAAGTTAAGACACTAGCAATTAAAGCCATCTTGAAATTTTATGATTTTTACTAAATTTTTGGTCATAATGGATCAAATACATTTTTCACATTCATGCAAAAAGACAAATCTGGTCAAGTATATGGCAGAAGTCTTAAAATAATATCACACTCTTAACTACTAAGATTTTATCTGTCATATGTCAATTAGATTAATATAATAGCAAACTTAAATAATATTAACAACGCAAACAATTCTGACAATTCTAAAGAGCCATTATAAGTTATGATTCATAACATTTTTCCAATCAATAAAACTATTTGTCCTCAAATCTGTATTTTTAGGATGATCTTCAGTTTTGTTAAAATCAACTAGGAAGATACCTAGGTTACTCTTGTACAAATAGCAATTTGAATACGTTACATGAAAACCTATTTATTTTTGAATATTTAATTATCTTTTAATATCGTATATGTGACGTTTTTTCAGAAAATATCAAGTCATAAAAAAAAGCATTTGAACGCAACTGTGAATTTTTTTGTTAAAAAAAATGGTTATTTTGAATAATTTTTTTAATTAAAAAAATTTAAATTAAATATGAGTTATTAAAACAGTTATAATAGTTAGTTAAATGAATTAGAATAAAAAGTTAGAATCTAAAATTTAGATTAAAAAGAATGTAAAATAATTTTGTAATATTTTTTAAAGAGGAATTTTTTTTTTATTATTTGCTAACAAATTCATTACATAAAACATAAATCTCTCCACCATAAATAATAATATTTGAAAGCAAATTTTTTTTTTAAAAAAAAAAAAAAAAAAAAAAAGAAGTATTTTTGTTTATAAGAATTCTTTTCACAAATGGATTAAAAATTTTCTGTTTCAATATTGTGTGAAGTTCTTTTGATGTAATTCATTTATGAACATAAATTATGTTTACGAATATCTTATTTGTAATTGATAAAATCTATAAATTGTTTATAATCTTTATTAAAAACAGTTCATTAAATACTTAAAAATATTAAAACAAATAAAATTGTGATAAACAAACATTGTTTAAAGAAATAAATTGTTAAGAAATAAAATTTTTTTTTATTGATTAGAATTTTTATTTGTTTAAATGATTTTTAAAGCTTTTAAAGTTAAATTTAATTAGAATACGGTACTTTAAATTATGCTAATGACACAATTTAACTTTTAACAATGTAAATATCCAAGCCGAGTTACAGCGGTTTAAAGTTAAATTTAATTACAATACGGTACTTTAAATTATGCTAATGACACAATTTAACTTTTAACAATGTAAATATCCAAGCTGAGTTAAAGTTACATTTATTAGGATTAAGCATTTTTGTTATGCAATACAATCTCATAAAAAGGCCTCACTGCAAAAAGTTAGTGAATCGGATAAATAATCATAAACAGATGGCGATGTGAATATTCTCAGTTTTTTTATTATATGTAGATTCTAAAGATAAAAAGAATTTTTCCAAAATTTTAAACCAGTGAATCCATTCTTTGTTTGATGATGAAGAATTTAGATTTGCATTATATCTTTTAGAAAACAGATATTTCTCCAGATAGATAAATTGAAATAATAAATCTTATCTATTATATACCACTAAAATAATAAGTTTTATCTATTATACACCACTTAGATTAACACAATCATGATCATTATTAGATGCTTAAACAAAAGGTTTTTGTTCATTAAAAGAAATGTTCATTTTGAGGTAATGCTGGATGGAAAATGTTTTGATTTGAAACCTACTGACATAAAAAGTAAGATCTAACGGCAGCACCAATGTAGCATGTTATATGGGTTAAACTTAGAGAATTTTATAACTGATCAATTTAAAAAAAATTGATATATGTAATTAAAGACTTAGATATGTTATCTAAAATAATTCACAATCCTTGTTTTCTTATTTAAATATGATATAATGGAAGATTTCAAGCAACTTATTCTTGAATTAACATGTTTTGCAAATTAGGATTAAATACATTTGTATTGAAACTACTACACAGAAGATTATATTATAAGGTTTACAAACTCCTCCGGACTTTAACCAGATTAAATTGGGGGGTTATTTCTTTATTATTCAAGTCTTTTTTCCTTCAAAGTAAGTTGCTATCGTCACAGCTAATGAAACTCACCTAACCTTAATACTAAATATACTTATTAAATTCTAAAAAATATTGCAGAGCCATAAAGAATTAAAGAAAAATGTAAAATATACCTTGCCATTATCAACCATTATTGATGTTGGGACACATTGCTCTTGATTAAAACTGTTAGAATGCTTTCTCTTTTTTACAAAACACAATATTCGGGAAAAGAGAGATACAATGTAATTAAGAAGTCCAGAAAGTACTTTAGCAATAGGTGCTAAAACTCTCATATTATATTTGTAAATAACTACTCTAACTAAAATAATTTATAAATAAAATAAAATAATTTCCAGATATATAAAAAAATATATAAAATCTTCTTAGCTACATTAATAAATTAAAAACTTTAATTATTAGTTCCTTATGTTTTTTCATTGAATTGATATTTTAATATAAAGCCTTTCTTAATGTTGAGCTTAAATTCAGAGAAAGATATAATAGAAATATCATCAAAATGAGTAAAATTTTTGTGATGATCTTTCTAAATATTATACATCAGAGTTTAAATAATCAGAAATTTCAATTTTAAAACTAAAAATTTATTGTTATTGTAATGATAACAATAGGTTATTACTACAATAATAATAATATCTAAGATTAACATTCTAATTCTACCCTTAATCATAACAAAATTATATATATATAATATATATATATATATATATATATATATATATATATATATATATATATATATATATATATATATATATATATATATATATATATATATAATATATATATACATATATAAATATAAATATATACATATATATTATATGTATATATGTATATATATATATATATATATATATATTTATACATATGTATATATATATATATATATATATATATATATATATATATATATATATATATATATATATATATATGTATATATATATATATATATTACTTATTAATAATTACTCTTTTTTTAATAAAAGACTTAGTAATGAAAGGACATTATTTTTTTTTAATTATCTGATGTAAGTATTTGAAATAATTACATAAATCATTTAAAATTATTTAAAGACTTTTATACATTGTTGGAAAGAGTTTAGAACTTTTAATGCAATAGCAAAATCAGGATCATTTGAATAATGATGTTTGATTAGATGGTCTTAATTAAACTGAGACAAAATTTCTAGTAAACCGTTTAACAGACGGTTGTGGCATCGGATTACTTTTTGGTTAATCGTATAAACCGGATACGCAAGTTTTGGATTTCTTGAGCACCGCTCAAAAGTTTATTTGTATTTTTTTTTTTTTTTTTTGATCTTTAGGAAATATTTAATTTATCTACTAGCGCAAATAAAAGTTTGGGAAAATTACTTAGGTTTAAATACAATATTTAGCTTGATAATTAACATATTTTTTTTTATTGATTTTATTATTGAAATTATTAAAAGGCACAGAGTTTGACATTCAACTGGTTGGCAGGGTCATTCCGAAGAGATCTTAATTCAAAGGTCTGCAAAGGTCCATCGATCAGATGCGTTTGTGCAATCGCTTTGACGCATAGATACGACTATCTCGATTTAGTTGGGATAATGATATACAAGCTTGTATATCATTATCCCAACTAAATCGGGCATTCACCGCAAATTTCTAAATCTCTATCCTGAAAGATGTTGTCTTATAATTTGGGTGCTTTCATTACATGCAATTAATTTTAACGATCTTTCAATCTTGGCCAGTTTCAACTTGCTAATTATTCGCTTGGTTTTACGCGTAATTGTTCCAATTACCACTCTGCAATCCCTACAGTTGGTATTTCGTTAGCACTTCTGCCGTTGTTCCCCTCAAATTTTTGAGTCCAACTCCTATCAAGCTCGATTGGCTCGTACTAAGCAGTTTTTTTTACCTTCGCATTGACCTAGGTGTCTATTTCTCGTACGAGAACGGGGAGGGAGGGGGTGTGTAGTAACTGTTTTTTTGCCGACTTAGGCCAAGAAAAAATATTTTGCCAACTAAGATCATAAAATAAAAATAAAAGTCCTCGTTGCCTAATATTTGACGACTGCCAACTGCAGATCTAAATTTGCCGAATCCAGTGTCCAAATTTGAAGACTTAATTTTGAATATAATTTTTGCTTGAGGTTAGTCACACATCTACGCCTCTCCCCTCCCCCTCCTCATACGCACAATGAAATTGAAATGGAAAAAAAACATCTTATGCTCCTGTTTTTTAATAATTAAATTTATTTTAAAAAGTTATATTGTTGACGTCAACTGTTCTTGATCTTCCCCTTCCCTTGTCAACAATGGTCAAAAATCTTGCGGCTCTTTCTCCCCCTTATTTTGTTGACGTAATTAATGGACAACCCCTAAGTCGTCTAAAATAGTTTAAAGAAAAACTTTCTCTTTTTTATTAGCAAGTTTTAATCTAAGATTTCTACTAATTTTTATTTTCTTAACATTTTTTTTTTGTCTATTTTGTGTTTTTGCTTGTCTGATTTGTGATCAAGTAGTATTACTATCTTAGGAGATAGGAATACTACTAGATCACAATTCAGACAAGCAAAAACACAAACTAGACAAAATAATTAAAAAATTAAAAAATAAAAATTGGTAGAAATCTAGTTATGTTAAAACTTGCTAATAAGAAAGAGAAAGTTTTTCAAATATTTTGTAAACGCGGAATACATATTGTACTTCAAAATACGTGAGACTCCCACCAAGTGGGGAGACCTGTCAGGTATGTATAACCTAACTTTCTAGATTTCTAGGAGATCGATTTTATTGAAATCGCTTTCTTAGAAATCTAATAGCTTAAATAAAACAAGAGTTACACAAATAAATAGTTTGATAAAATAACAAATAAATAGTTTGATAAAATAGTTACGTGAATAAAAAGATGCTGCAGGATAAGTAGTTTATTATTTGATCAAAAGTTTAATTTCAAATAAGCTTTTTTAATGCTGATTTTGAATGAAAGTTTTCAGTGTTTAGCATATCAAACAATATTTCACCCTTATAATTACAGATTTCCGCAGTCGAACGTTCGATGTTTGAAAAACATAAGAAATTCAGTTGCATCTGCAATTGAATTATTAAGAGTTTGTGTATATATGCTTCAATAGAAACTTTAGATTTTATTTATCAAAACTTTGTTTTCAAATTTCAAATCTTTCTCTTCTTGCATTTTATATGGAGCTTTTATTAAACTCCATTTAATTTTTATCTCAATCCAATAAAATCTCTACATTACATAATACATCCAATAAAATCTCTACATTACATAATACATCCAATAAAATCTCTACATTACATAATACATCCAATAAAATCTCTACATTACATAATACATCCAATAAAATCTCTACATTACATAATACATCCAATAAAATCTCTACATTACATAATACATCCAATAAAATCTCTACATTACATAATACATCCAATAAAATCTCTATATTACATAATGCATTTCTGGCTGATTTTAGCATATGATTTGGGTTAATGATTACTTATAAGTAATGATTACAACCTTCAAAAAAAAATCTTCCTTTAACGTTTCCTGGTTTTTTACTAAATGATCATCCTAGTGATACAACAGAATTGTAATTGTACTGTAATTGTTGTATGTAAGAGAATTATTTAAGACATATGTCCTAGATAGTTCTCTTACATTCAACAACTGCTTTAGTTACTGGCGTCGTCATTAAAATTTAAAGAGCAATGTATACATTTGGGTAACTATCTATTTCTATTTGGTTTTTATTGATAAACTGCATAATTTTAAACACAGACACTAGTTTGACTATATTGACGACAATGTCTTCAATTCCTCGTATAGTTCAATTCCATTTAAGTTAGAACTATCATTATGTGATGGTTTACTGTTTCTTACATTTTGTTGTTGTTTATTTTTAGCCATATTATTTAATTTCTTCATATCATATAAAAACCATAGTTTTATTGGTATTGCAAAGTGAATTGTAACCAAGCTCAAATATCGAGTGTTGCTATGTGTGATGATACTTAATACAGAAATAAATATTTTTTTCATTAAACAAAGAAACTCTTGCTAAACAAGTAACAATTGATTAACAGCGAAACTCATGTTTAATTCAATTTACCTAGGAACCCAAAATTTGGGGCACCGACCAAAAGTTGACACCAGGCATCACAAAGCTATGTGCGGGCCTATGTACGGATAAAGTGTATTATTACTATTATTTTAATCATGATTATTGTTATTAATTTTATTATTATTTGTATTATCGTTCTTGCTATTTTTATTATTACGGCTTTCACTCTTATTATTAATACTATTACGGCTGTTATTGATTACTACCTAGCAAACATTCTATAGTTGAACTTCAGTGGACTATTAGTGGCAGCCGCCAAAATTGCGTGTCAATATGGAAGCTACATTTTTTATTTTAGAATAGAACAAAATCACGTGTCAATAAATAGTAGTAATGAAAAAATTATAACAGCATTTATAATTTTATTTGTATTTCAGTAAATGTACCAAAATTAGCATATAGAATCTTAAGCGATATTTTTTACCCACTATGCAATAAAAGTAATATAATGTAATAAATTAATTCTGTAATAATGAAGTTAGGGTAATCCTAACTTTATTATATTTTAAGCAAAACCGCTTAAGTAACAAGCGCTTTTTTTTTTAATAACTGTCAAAGCATTTCATAAACAGTTCCCTATTTTGAACTCAAGTTTTGAAATAATTCTGCATAATTTATGGGAAGCAGTTACTTATTAGATTTAGTTTATTAGTTCAAATCTATGATTAATTTATAAACGGAACATAAGTATAAGTATAAAAAGAACCCCTTTATTTAGGCAACAACTTCTGTTTCAGTTGCTACTTTACTGTGTCCGGTACTAGGTGTCGACTTTCATATAAACTAAAAACTTTTTTTTAACGAGTGATTTGTTTTTGAATAGTTAAAAAATACGTAATATTTTTCTTTAATGATTTGTTTAAGTGTGTATTATGAATGTTTAAATAAAAATATTAAGTGTTTAAAACAATTTAATGCTAAAACATTACTATTAAACACTTTTTTTTTTTTTACAAAAATGCTGGTACTCAGGAAATTTTCCTTTATTTATATTTCCTTTTATACAATAAAATAAATATTAAGGTATAATTAATAATGTAGTTAACTTAACAGCATTAACAAAACAATAAAAACTGAAAAAAAAATTGTCGCCAAAACAATCGGATAAAGCTTTCGACTAAATAAGCCCATTAGTATCTTCATTATTTCTTAAAATAACGATATCT